TTCTACTCGAAATCCACCGAGCTCGAAGAGAAAAAGGATAAAGTGGTGTATCGCGATGTCCAGATCTTATCCCTGCAGTCTGAGAAGGCCGACCTTGAAGCCGTGGTGACGGAGAAGTCGGACCAGCTGGCTGTGGCACAGACCGAGATCGAGGCACTGCTGGCCGACAAGAAGCTCTTGGAAAACGAGGTCTACAAGTTATCCAACCAAGTCGTTGAGTCCGATAACAAAGTCAGAGGCTGATAGTAGATTTTTGAAGGAACGCGAGGAACACCAAAGAACCCATCGGGACCGAGCTGAGAAAGAAGTCGAGTTAATCCGTTTGAAGGAGTTACATGCCTCTGAGTTGGCAAGGCTTGAGAAGGAAAAGACCGACTACTGGACACTCATGCGCAACCGAGGTATCGAAGCTGACAAAGAACTCGGAAAAGAGGAGATCAAAAATTTTTAAGAGATTGAGCGCGACATCGAACTGAACACCTGCCTGAATCTCCGCTGGACCATCGACCGTCTTGAAACCGGCCTCTACAACATGGTTAATATCAAGGTCATATTGCTCAGGAAGGTCGAGAGGTTCGGCTTCAACACTGCGGTCCCTGAGATGCGCATCCCAGTCGACGACGATAGGAGAAACTATGTTGAGTTTGTTTTGAACAAGTCTGAGCTAAATGTGACAGCCTCGGCCCTCCCTCATTTGAGCCGAGACATGCTAGATTTCCTCCGGAGGGCCTTCATTGACATGGTTCTCGAAAGGCCTAAAGAGAGAAGGGAGGAGCTCGACCATAAATTTATCGACACTCTTGCCGACATCACTATCGAACATTTCGACACTCTGACTCCAACCGAGATAAAAAAGAGGTGGTGGAATATGCTAACAAGATGGCCGCAGCTGCTCTCGAGGGAAATACTGAGGTGCCCGATCCCACATCCGAGCCGATGACCGTGGCTGGGTCGGCTGAGTCCCACACAATTAAAAATTCAAGTCAATCCCTAGTTGTTGGATGCGGCTATCCACGCTAAATTGAGCGAAAAGGTGAAGGACATGTCTGTGGACGGGGAAGACGGTGCCGCTGAGGTGCCCGGAGCTGACCCTAAGAAGGCCCGAGGTGGTGCTGAGGAGGCTGAGAAAGGCCTCGAGGAGCCTGGGGAAGACGCCGAGAAGACTGCCGAGTAGCCTAGCCCGTTTTATTTTTTGTTGTCTCGTTTGTTTGCTTTTGCTTTGCGTGGACCATCATGTTGGCACGCTTGCTTTGGTTTGCATTTTATGATTTTCCAGATGTGGACAATCAAGTTGGCACATCTACCTAGTTTTTCTTCTTCGTCATATTGTAAGACTTTTCCCCGGGCTTTCAGTTAATGAAGTGTGATTTTAAATATTTACTCCTGGCCTTTTATTTTTCGCAAAGTGTCCTGAGGTCGTATTTTTTTAGCCTCGAACAGGTGGTCGTCCTTTTTAAATAGTTCCGACCACTTCACACTGGTCGAGTTTTCTTTTGAGTAACAACGAGAAAATGGCTTTTGCGAAGTTTAACACAATCTACAGAAAAGGGTATCCTCAATCAATTTTGCAAAAGAAGGGAGGGCATTTTTAAAAGTGTGGTACCCCATAAAAATTATTACAATCGCAAAAGAAGTTTTTACAATGTTCACTATTTCAAAAATTTTCTAAGCATAGAGACTTTCTACGCACTTATTTCGACAAGTGTAAATGTTTTCGAGTAAGAATTTTGGCCTACTGTTTTCACCTCGTATGGTAAACTCTCAGTGATTGAAACCTTTGAAATCCATTGCTTTGCCCGGGGAGGTCATTTAACAGATCCGACTAGTGGTGCGACGGCCAGTTTTTACAGAACATCGGTGTGAGGACCGACTAGTGGCGCGATGGCCGGTTTTTGGAGAACGTCGGTGCGAAAACCGACTAGTGGAGCGATGGCCGATTTTAGCAGAACGTCAGTGCAAGGACCGACTAGTGGCGCGATGGTCAGTTTTTGCAAAACGTCGGTGCAAGGATCGACTAGTGGCGCTATGGCCAGTTTTTGCAAAACGTCGGTGCAAGGATCGACTAGTGGTGCGATGGCCGGTTTTTTTGCAGAACGTCGGTGTGAGGACCGACTAGTGGCCGATGGTCGGTTTTTGTAGAACGCTGTTGTGAGGATAGACTAGTGGTTACTGGTAGTATTTCTTGAGGTACACGGCGTTCCACGAATATCGCTGGGGCGTGCTGTCTAGGTTCTCTAGTCGGTAGGCCCATGTGGGAGTACTTGGCTTATTTTGAAAGGTCCCTCCCCCTTGGGTTTCATGGGACCAGGTTCGGCCCCATTTACTCTTTTCAAGACCAGATCGCCAACTCGATATGTTCTAGGCTTGAGTTTGGCATTAATGTACCGTTCGCTCCTTTGTTTGTAAGCTGCATTCTTGAGCTCGGCTTGCATTCGCAGCTCATCAACCAGGTCAAAGTTCATTCGTAGGTTGTTCTCGTTCTGGTCATCTTCAAAGTTTTGTACTCGGTAAGTGGGCGAACCGAGTTCTACGGAAACCGTGGATTCTGATCCGTAGGCCAAAGAGAAAGGTGTCTCCTATGTTGATGACCTCGGAGTCGTTTGATATGCTCATAGGACGCTCGGCAGCTCCTCCGGCCAAGTTCCTTTAGCGGCTTCAAGTCGTAGTTTGAGGCCGTTCTTTATTAGCTTGTTCACGGCCTCGACCTGACCGTTGGATTGAGGATGATATGGAGTCGAGAAGTAATGCTTAATGTCGTGCGCTGTGCAGAACTCTTCCATCCCCTTTCCTTTGAATTGTCTCCCGTTATCGGTGATGATCGAGTTGGGCAAACCAAAGCTGCATATTACCGACTTCCAGAGGAAGTCAATCAATTTTTGCTCAGTGATGGTTGCTAGCGATTCTGCCTCGGCCCATTTGGTGAAGTAGTCTACTGTGACAATGGCGAATTTCACTCCCCTCTTCCCGGTTAGTAGGGGTCCGATCAGGTCGATACCCCATTTGGCGAAGGGCCAAGGGCTTACGATCGATTTGAGCGGCTCCAGTACGAGGTTTCTGTGGGGTGCGAATATTTGGCACTTGTTGCACCTCCTCACCCAATCTGCGGCGTCCCTCCTTAACATCGGCCAGTAGTATCCACGTCGGAGGATTTTGTAGGCGAGGGCTTGGCCCCTAAAATAGCTTCCGCAGATGCCATCGTGAATTTCTTGCAGCACGAACAATGACTCTTGTTCCGACAAATATTTTAAAAGTGGGACCAAGTATCCTCGTTTATAGAGTGTTCCTCATTCGTGTGTGAATCTTGCGGCCCGTGTTCGTAGTGACCGCGCCTCTCTAGGATCTTGGGGTAATGTTCCTGACTCAAGGTATGCGACGATAGGATCCATCCATGTCGGTATTTTGTTGCTCGCGTCTGCTCCAACCTGGTTGACTTGGATGACCGAAGTAGACGACATTTCTTGTCGTCTGACTTGAACATACTCCATGTCCTCCATTCTCGCGCTCGAGGCAAGGTGGGAAAGGGCGTCGACTTGTACGTTTGACGTTCTAGGAATGTGCTCGACTTTTGCTTGGAACTTGGCCAACTGTTGTTTGGCCAATGACAGGTAAGACACTAACCGAGGCTCTTTCACCTCGTAAACACCGATGACTTGGTTGACCAGAAGCTGGGAGTCCGAGTAAACGTTGAGATGGGTCAGGTTCATCGCCTCGGTGAGGCTCAGACTAGATAATAAGGCTTCGTACTCGGCCTCGTTATTGGTGGCTGGGAACATGAATTGGACCGAATGGCAGTACAACTGTTGTTCGAGGTCGATCAACACCACCCCCTCCTCCAGCTCGGTTTGCGGTCGACGACCCTTCGACATACATGACCCAGGTTCTATCGTCGATGACTTCCTGAACGGCCGGCGTGAACTCGGCGATGAAATCAGATAGGACTTGCCCTTTTATCACCCTTTACGATTTCTAGTATAAAACGACATTTTTATTGTCACATAGGACTTGTTAGAAAAAGTTATCCGAGTTTTCAGTGACATTGTAGTAAATCCCTTTTTGATCCGTTGCAGCTATGACTATTCTAGATATGGAGCATCCACGGGTAAGGTGAGAAGAGAAAACTTTGGTTTCAAATTATAAAATTCTTTTTCACCTTTGTGTTTAAGGCATTTATTTATTGATTATCAAGTTCAATTTTCTTCAACTTGACTTATGAAAATGAGCTTCATTTATTGAAATGCATTTTTGAAATATGTTTACAGCCATCTGAGTTGAACACGTACTATGATATCGAGGCGGTGTATAACTGTCTGAAGAGCGAGTATGGGATCAGGCAAGAGGATGTGATTCTGTATGGTCAATCGGTTGGGAGTGGGCCCACATTACACCTGTCTTATCGTTTCCCGAGGCGGAGAGCCATAGTTCTTCATAGCGCGATCCTTTCGGGCATAAGAGTTTTGTATAATGTTAAGTTGACCTTCTTTTCGACATCTTCAAAGCAAGTTTTTTTCTAAATCTTCATAATGTGTTCTCTTAACACTCACTTTTTTAACTATGCAAATTATCTCTGATTGTGTTGTTATATCTGCCTCTTATTTTTCCTTTTGTAGAACATTGACAAAATACGAAATGTCAGCTGCTCAGTTTTGGTCATACATGTAAGAAATCTATCACTTTTTGCCCTTTCTTACTCAAAATTACATTTGAATGTCTCTGGACTGTTGTTGTTACTACTGCTTTACTGGCTGAAATAATATAAGTTATATGTAAAATTTAATAAGCAAGTCGTTTATGATGTGTTCCGATTGTGATTCTTATACGTGTAAACCATTTTTCAAGTTCTTTGATCAAATAATTTCATCGTCGTCTCATATTTTTTCTAAAAGATCACATGACATAGTCAATTTTGGTTTTAAAAAACAAAAACATATGTAGTCATTATTAATACTCCTCGAAACTCGTAAGTATATGATTTTTGTCTGTTGATAAATTCATGGTTGCATATATTGTACAAACGAGATTGTTGACTTTGTTGTTATGTAGGGAACAAAAGACGAGATTGTCGACTTGTCTCACGGCAAGCGACTATGGGAGCTAGCAAAGGAGAAATACGAGCCATTGTGGGTCCAAGGTGGGGGCCACTATAATCTCGAGACATTCCCCGAGTACATTAAGCACTTGAGGAAATTCGTGACTTCAATGGAAAACCTTTCGTTCTCCAAAAGACCCAAGCGCTTCTGCCTCCACCATTACAGACTTCAAACACAACAAATGTTTAAGATTTGGACAAAGATAACCTCTCATTTAACGTTTGTATTGTGATGTCAAAGTTGAGCTGTAAATTTGGTGTCATAGACTGTGAATGACTCTTGATTTGTTCACTTTCAGTTGTTTTTTTCCCTGTTATCTTATGTGCAGTCATTTTGTGTTCTGGAGTATGTAGAGAAGCATGTCCATTCGCCACTCGATCTATCACATGTCATGATAAAAACTCGGCTTCAACTATATATATATATCATCGCTTTATCCCG